GCAAATTTATTTAAATTCCCTGCAAATTCTATTATGCTTTATGAGTTAGTCATGCAACGGGAACAACAGTAGCAGATACGCTAGGTACGCGGATACAATTTGTTTACTGTCATATCACTGTAATTTACTTATGTTATAATGTATCATGCATGTCAGGTTGCAAACAATATTTTCAAAACAAAACAACTTTAAAAAATTAAACAACATTTTCAAACAAAACAAAAAAAAACATAACACGTACTTTTGAATTTACGGGAGTCCCTCGGATGAGATAACTCACAGTTGCTAACGTGATCTCCCCAGTTTAAATGAGCTTAATAACTCGTTTAAACTAAGTAATTAAAAATAAAATAGTGATGTCAGAACAAAGAAACCGTGAGATCCTAACCGGTGTCACTCTAATCAACTTTAACCCCCCAATAATGCTTGAATGACAACAAAACCAAGACTTTGAAACACACCAGGTAAAACCTTGTGAACCTTAAACCTTATGACTACTACTTCAACAAAGAGCTTGGAGTCAAACTTGTTGCCAGCACGACAACGAGCTTGAATCGAGCAAAAATATCTTCAGCAATCTCTCTCCCTAGTTTAAACAATAACAATCTATATAGTTTTGAGGTAGATCACCAAGTGCGACGTAAATCCTCATACCCTCTTTAGGCTCCTGCACAACCATGTTGTACAGCGTAAGTCTTAACTAGCCTTAGGTTCTGAGGTTATCGTGTGGTAAGATGTAAATCTTCATATCTCTGCGGGCTATTTGCATAATCGGATATTATGCAAATGTAAGTCTCAAATAATAAAATTGGCAAGATCATCGTCTCCAAAACTTAGCCACACGTTAGGATAGTTTGGGAAGTCACTGAGGTTCCTCCTCAGGATCTGTGACATCCCCTACATTTTCCTTCGTTTGGACTCCTGAAAATAATTGTTCTTATTTGAGTCACTCTCATTTGTTTTTCCACGTCTTACCATAAAAACCTAAAATTTGAATTCTTGAAGACTAGTACCTCTGATCATCATCGATAATTTTCTCAAGTGACCCCCGTCATTTGGGATGTAATTAACTATAGGAGTTTGTCTTGCCTCTATATGAAACTTTGAACCCAAGTAAAATAAACTCTATTTAATTTTTATATTAGGTAGAATAACTTGTCAGTCACACATGAAAGTTTCGCAGGTCAAACAGATGTCACAAATCTCTTAATTTGCAAATTGGGCCCATCGCCGACACATACACTTATCTTTCGGGAAGGTGAAGTATTTGTGGTATTGGGCATGGTATCAGACTCGATTATGCAAACCATTAGACTAATGAGATCCATTTGATCTCATTTTTTAAGAATTAAAACATACTACTTTTAAAACTCAAACTATATCCCTCTTATATATTAAATTAAATTTAAAAATTATCTTCAAAATCAAAAGAAAAGTTGACCAACACAACCATGTGGTGTAAAGTAACAAGAATAAATCTAAGGTGGATGTTTGCTTAAGAAGATAATTTCATATCGACTCTAGCTAAAAAAGATTTTATGCTTTAGCAAATGCATTCAAATTTTAGGTTTACTGATTGAAATTATAGTAAATCTCAAATTTTAGTAAATAATTTAAGATTTACTGATATTATTTTAGAGTGAACCACCCAATCAAACATCATTAGTCATTACCATACTTTTGTAGTGTTATTTGGCATCGAAATTATGTTGTTAAGGGACACATGTCATATTCTTATTGGTATGAGATCTTTGAATGTGACCATAGAGTTACATTTGATATCACATGATCAATTTGTAAGGCAACGTTAATCTTAAATTGGTCACGCTTGATAGATTATAACAAAGGGCGAATGGACTATTACTTTAAGCTTAGAGTGATAGATTTCTCTTGAATAATTTTAGAATTTTCTAAATTTTTCTCAGACTTTTATTGAGATTTTAGCCCAAAATGATTTTCATTACAATTCAGATTATATATATATATATATATATATAAATAGCGTGGCCAGCAGCACGCACTGCTAGAATTTCGTCCCATGGTGATTCCCGACGGTGAATCTCTCGGCTTCTTCCCTTCTCTTCGGCGTCTCCCATGACGAAGTTCACGTACCTACAACTCTAGTCTCTCCTGTTGAAGTCAATCACTCCCTGTAGTCTTCGTAGTCGACGAGGATCGCTCTTGTCATCGTCGTCTGATTCCATTGACGACGACGCTATTTCCCGCAGTCGTCTCCCATAGCCGACGAACTTTCTTCTTGCGGTCGTCTCCTCGCTCTCTCCAGACGAAGCGAGCCCGGCAGACAGCGCCCGAAGTCTGCTTGTTTCCTTGCGGCCCGCCACACAGTTCTTTTCTGACCGTGACCATCTTGTGAGGGAGATGGTCTCGACGCTCCGTTCCTATGCAAATGCCCTTGCCGGCGACTTTCTCATTCCTGCTCATTCCCCTATTTCAATTTCAGAGTCTGATTTTGATATCGGTAAGTCCTGCAATGTTTCACAATCTTTCCACGAGACTCTTGAAGGTGGTGGTGAGCACACTTTTATTTAAAAACTTGAAAAAAAATGAAAAGTCAACTCTTATTCTCACTGAGGTTGAAACCAGTACTCTCGCGTCCTCTTGGCGTTTTGCTCTAGTGGAGAAATTTCTTTATGGTCACCCAAAACTGAAGATCATTCGAAAAGAGTTTGATGCTATGAAACTATTGGACAATTGGTACATTTGTCTACTTGACGGTCGACATACTTATTCAGCTATCTCACGATGCCGATCACACTCGCATTTTCTCTCAAAAAGTTATCAAGATTGATAATCGTTTTATGAAAATTCTGAAGTGGACTTTCGATTTTGATTCAAAAGCGGAGTCCCCTATCATTCATGTTTGGATAAAGTTTTCGGGGGTTAAAATTACATCTGTTCAACATGAAAATTATCTACTCTTTAGCAACTGCTTACGGTAAGTCTCTCAAGGTGGATAGTCTTACTCTTTGTCGTCACCAGACCCTCTGTGGCTTGTGTGTTAGTTGAGAGAGATATCACTCAACCAACTCCGAATGAGATATGGATTGACACTATTCACAACAGGAATTGACAAAAGGTTGAAATAGAACCACACACTCTTTATTGCTCTCATTGTAGTATGTTTGGTCACAGTTCTACTATTTGTTATCGCTTGCATGCTCATTTAAGGTCGAATATCACTTCGAATATCTCGAATATCACTAAAGATCAGCCACCTACCATCCTTGTTGAGAAGGTGCAATCCGATCTTCTTTTCAACATCGCTATTCCAGATGAAGAACACCACTCTACAGGTATAGATCCAAATGTGCTAATACCACTTATTGTTATTGAAAAAGGTTCACTTACATGCCAAGACACACGAGTGTTCTTTCGATCATATAAAAAATCAGCTGGTACAACAAGTAGTTGCTTCTAATGTTCAAGAACCCACACATATCCTGCGTACTTCAGACCATTCAGGTGAGCCAATCTTCGGATGAGGAATGACAGGTCTACACGAGGAGGAAGAAGATTGGAGGACGACTCGTGCTAGGGAATCTATTGGATGATACATTGGTTACTAATGGCAATAGCACTCATTTGACCAATTTATTAGCTGGCTCCTTCCCTAGAACTAGAGGCAGAGGCAAGGCAAAATTGGGTCGCTCTCCAGCTACCTGATACTCCTATTTTGACACTTTTGATTTTTTATTTAGATCTCTTATGTATTTTGTTATATTTTCTCTTTTTTGGAACCATTTGGTATGGTGATTTTTGTGTGGTCAGAATGCCATGTTAGAGACCTCCCACAAAATCTATTTGTACCCTATTTTTTATTTAATAAAATAGCCTTTGGGCTTTCAAATATATATATATATATATATATATATATATTTTTTTTATAAAAATATACTGTCTAATATATTAAAA